GGCTAGTCTGTTTGATCCTCTTACTATGAGCTGTAAGTCGTCTGCGTAGCATAGGAGCTTGGCTGTTTGTCTGAAAGGAAGTTTGACAAGATTTTCCATCAGGACATTGAACAGCATTGGACTGAGGATGCCTCCTCCTTGTGAGGTTCCGTTTTCATGGACCCTGTAGTTTGAGGTTGGTAGTTCTGGATCCACCCCAGCAACCTTCCTTTGACGCCTTTTTCAACGAGCGTCGTTGTAATGGCCAGTGGATTTGCTAGTTCGAAGGCCTTCTCCAGGTCGAGGAAGACCACCAGAGCTGGTTTGTAGTCCACTGTGCGGAGTATCTCGGCGATGTTGTTGCCTGTGCCGGTGTTCTCGGTGTAAGCAAAAATGTGAGGGTGTGGGCTGCCTACTTTCCACTTGAGTCGGTTGAGAGCCATTCTTTCTCCCGTCTTCGCTATGGAGCTGAGAAGGGAAATGGGTCTCGGTTTGTCTGGTTCTCTGGGCTTCGGAATGGGCTGTATATCTGCCTTCTTCCATTCCGGTGGAAATCTTTGTGCTGTCCACGAAGCATTGATGACTTGTAGCAAAGCCTCGTGTCCGGCTTTTCCGGCATGAGAAAGCATGGAGTAGGTTATCCTGTCGGCCCCTGGTGCTGTGTCCTTGCTTCGTTTTAGCGACTTCTGGAGTTCTTGCTGGTTGAAAGGTCTGTCGGTGTCATCTTCACTGTTGCAGGCCTCATCGATCATCTGGAGTCTGGTCTGTCGCAGACGCCATTGTGTCTCCTCCGCCTGTCTCGGGAGGTTTTTGTTGCTGCTCGGTCAGAGAACACTTTTGCAAGTCTCTCGGCTTCCTCTTCTGGGTTGGGATTGGTTGGTGATCGCGGTGTTGCGTTCCCAGATGCCTTTCGGATCTGGGACCACATTTTGCCAAGGGAGGTGTGCTCGTTCAGTTCGGAGCACCACTTGAGCCAGCTTACGTTTTTTTATTTCTTCCTTCTCTTCCCTGGTATCCTTAACTATGACTTGCAGGAGATGTCTGTTTGTTTCCGTGGGATGTCTCCTGTAGTTTCTTCGGGCCATGTTCACTCTGTGGTTGAGTTCTTTCACCTTGGGACAGTAGTACCAGTAATCATTGTACTTTCTTGATGTGGGTTTTGTTTTTGTTTCCCTGGCCAGCAACTCTCGTATTTAAACAATTTAGAAACATCAAGATTTGGGTGAGCGTAGCGAGAGAGCCAATCACAGAGGAGGAGGCCAGGCACACCCGGCACTCTGGTCCTAGCGTTGCTACGTGTGCGTCCGCACTGGAGAGTAGGTCTACCGGCATCGCTGGCTGTACGCTGATTGGCTGGTAGGCGCACGGGAGCTCAGTCGTCACTTGTAGGGGATGGGGTCCACTACAATACTCCACTTCCCCTCCGGGTGCGGCGGGAGCGGCAGCCGCCAGGCTGGCGCGGAGGAGGAGGTGTTGCTTGCTGGTGGCACTAGGTAGAAAGAGGGTGGTCACAGCGGTGTCAGGCCTTATAAGGCGGGGGTAGGCGTGGGTAGATAGTTGACCCCCGCTCCGTGGGCGGCGCTGGAGGCGTAGGCTGGGGAATTCGAGAAGGTTTGGTGCTTGTAGGGGAGGAATCCACTACACGCTCCCTTCGGGGAGGAGTATCCGAAAAAAGAAAAGGGGAGTTAGGCACAATTCTATGCGCACTCCTAGGAATCAAATTCGCCGCATTAATAGAAACAAAGGACTCTTTCACAGTTCTTTGCATAAAAGAAAAGGATGTCGATCTCATGTTATCGACTGAATCGATAGATACACTAAAAATAGATAACTTTGAAATAGCCATCCCACCACAGCTTTCAGCTAAGAAGTCAATAGTTATCAAAAGATTGGATAAGACCATTACTAACAAATCACCACTTTTACTTTTTTTTACTTTTATCCTCTTCACCACTGATCGGCTCGTTAGCCGCTTGGGCGATCGGTTACTTCTCTGTTATGCACTGTTGGCAAGTACTGGGCATGCACCGGCCCCTGAATGTACCTGAACTCGCTCCAGTGTTGGTAAAGTCTTGTCTTGAAAGAGCTCACACTCGGTGCCATCACAACACTTTCTGCTATACAAAATTGCTCATTTATTGGATATTTGGACCAATATTCTGGAACGGGGTGGTAATATCGACCATATTTACCTAGATTTTGCCAAGGCTTTCGACAGTGTACCCCACGAAAGGCTGAAAATCAAACTGGAAGGGTACGGAATTCGGGGAAATTACCTAGCGTGGATAGAAGACGTTCTACATGACCGCAAGCAGTGTGTGGTGATTAATGGAATGAAATCATCATCCGTACCTGTCACAAGCAGGGTACCACAGGGCAGTGTATTGGGCCCGCTGTTGTTTGTTTGTTTCATAAATGACAATTCTGACGTTGTACACTCCTCCATAGAAATGTTTGCTGATGACGCCAAGTCATTTCGGAAAATCAAGAACCAAGCGGACTGTGAAGAGCTGCAGAAGGATCTCTGTGGGCTCCAAGATTGGTCGAAGAAATGGCTGCTGAGATTCAATGTCACGAAGTGTAAGAGGATGCACCTGGGGCGTACCAACGGTAAGGAGGCGTATCATATGTCCCAACGGGATGAAGAAACTGCACTATTTGAGACTGAATGTGAGAAGGACCTAGGTGTGTATGTTGACAATGAGCTGGAGTTCTCGGGCCATTGCGAGAAGAAGGAAAATCAGGCAAATAAATTATTGGGTCGTATAAGAAGGTCGTTCAGATATCTAGACGGTCCGTCCCTCGTAACGATCTTCAAGAGTGAAGTGCTTCCCCATCTGGAGTACTGTCACCCAGTCTGGTTCCCGAGATATGCTAGGGACTGTCAGTTGGTTGAAAATTTTCAACGGAGGGCTACCAGACTGGTGCCTGCCCTTCGGCACCTCAGCTACCTTGAGAGATTGGAGCGCCTGAACTTGCCTAGCTTACTGTATACTATAGACGGGCAACGGGTGACCTAATAGAGGTGTATAAGCATCTCAAGGGGCACTAAAGCGTTCGACCTAGTCGACCACAATATAATCATAAACAAAGCTATTGACCTCGGGCTTCGGAGAAGTCTCATACCATGGCTTACAGACTTCCTCAGTGACCGACGCCAAGCTGTACGCTTCCGAGGGGCTGTCTCCACCTTTCAGTCACTCACCTGTGGCGTCCCCCAAGGCACCAAGATGGGACCACTCTGCTTCCTTATGCTCATCAATGATGCCCTAAGAGAAACCCCTGCTCGCTGGAAATATGTCGACGACTCCACCATTGGGATCAGCGTCAACAATTCTGCTCCCAACTATACCGCCCTTCAGGATTTATTGAACAGTCTCCAAAACTGGGCCACCAACAACCATGTCACCATCAACCATACCAAGACCATGGTTATGCACATCAACCTCTCCTCCGACATTGTCCCACCTCCTTCCATTACCCTAGGTCCGAACACACTCCAGGTTGTAGATTCCACGAAGCTCCTCGGCGTCACCATAGACAACAAACTAAATTGGAAACCACACGTCAGTGAAGTTGTCAAATCCTCCAGTTTCCGTCTCCACCTCCTCCGCCGACTCAAGTCCCTCGGAGTTCCTGCACACGAGCTCCTCAGTGTATACACAACATTCATACTTCCCAAGCTCACCTATGCCTCCCCCACCTGGTCTTCCTCCCTAAATGCCACACAACGTAAACACCTAGAAAAAGTGCAAAAGAGGGCATGCAAGATTATTCTCTCCCCTTCCTACTCCACATATCAAGAAGCGCTCAACACACTGACCCTTTCGACTCTCACTGACCATTACCACGGCCTCATCTGCAAATTTGGTAAGAAGCTTCTACACCACCCCCGACACCGGCCCCTACTACCACCTGAGATCCCCTGCCCGAGAATTGCTGTTCGACACCACAACTGCATCCAGCCCATACGTGCACGAACTGATCGCTATAAGAACAGCCCAGTCCCAACTATTGTAAAAATTATCAATAACATGTAATAAATCAGTGTATTCACTCCCAGTAAACACTGCTCCCTACACTGTCACTATGTTGAAATGAACTGTAGTTTGAGCTGATCCCCGTCTAAGTTATTATATGTCTTATTTGTGTCACTTATGTCACTTGTATATTATTTGTAACTCGTAACCCATTCCCCAAATATGTAACTGTATATTTTCAGCCTTCTGGCTGCCAAGCTCTTTCAATAAACCGTCAATTATTATTATTATTATTATTATTACTCAGTCGAGTGTCCTTTCTTGGAGCTGGCGGGCGCTCGCCCAACAAGGGGTCACAGCTCAAGATTGAAGAAGCCGCAAGTCCAGAAAACTGTGAGAGCAAACTTCTTCGGAGTGAGAGTTGTAAACTCTTGGAACAATCTACCAGAGAGTGTTGTGACGGCACCGAGTGTGAGCTCTTTCAAGACAAGACTTGACCAACACTGGAGCGGGTTCAGGTGTACATTCAGGGGCAGGTGCATGCCCAGTACTTGCTAACAGTGCGTGGCAGAGACGTGACCGATCGCCCAAGCGGCTAACGAGCCGATCAATGGTGAAGAGGATAAAAGTAAAAGTTAAACTAAAAACTACGTCTGCAGCCAGCCGCAGCGTTACCAATGCACTGAGATATCAAAATGAAGCGAAGCTACTCATATGACAAACTTTATTATAATATTCCAAATTTATTCCAGATTAAACTAAATTATATCATATTTATGCCAAAAGTTTAATTATGCTAAGAATATGCTAAGCTGTAATATCGGGTCGAAATTATGCTAAAAGCATAAACATATGTTTGATCTGGGAACACTGCCTCTTGCTATTGGTACTCCACTTTTCTATTGGAAAGGAAGAAATAAAATTGAGACCAACAAATATTTTATAAATTATTTTAATCTTACTATTTAAGAATGATTTTTTATGTTAATTATTTGTATAATACTATATAGAAATAAAATTCCTTACAAACAAGCTACAGTGATGATACATGTAAACAACACGCGGCTTGTTTACACCTTAGGGAGAGCAACACGTGTCTTCCACCACTAGCTACTGTACCTACAACCAAGGAATAGAGGTTATATTCCTTGCCTACAACTGGTTCCAGGGAATCGGGAGTTTCTGTAGCGTCAAGTACATTATAGACTACACTCACGAGCCAACAAGAAGTGACAGGAAGGCTGCTATTTAACCCCATGGGTTTGAAGGGTCTCTGTGCTGAATAATATCGCCTAGATTCAGTCAAATACAATATTAAATCTGACGCCCAGTAGTTAAACGGTTAAAGTAAGAGATTATACACAATAATTTGAATTATACTAAAGTACTGCTTACAGGCGAAGATGAATAAAAAATTTCCACGAAGAAACAAACAATACAAAACAAATAACAAAAGGAAACTGAGTGCAATCCCTGGAATAACAGAAAGGAACAATGGAAACCAAAAGAAGGTACTGTATTTCCCATCATTATTTATTGGTAACACACAGTGGATATTTTGCCGTGACTAAGTGCCTACTAACGGGTTAGGGTCATCTCGTACCCAAGATAAATCGTACTAAAAAAAGTTAACTCGTACCCACGCCAACTCATACCCAACTCGCTCTTTGATTTTTTCTAGATGGAAGCACAGGCTTTATGTAGTACTGCAGAATACAAAGTAACCACAGTTAGACAACAAAAGTGGCATGTCGATGACAACACTTCTCCTGAGTCTATTTTATGCAGGCTGCAGGCTAGAATGGTTGCAAATAAAAATATACACAATCGGTTCAGAGTACATAAGAAAATAAGGAGTCTGCAGTTGGCCTGTGCATGGCAGCTCCTGTCGAGAGTTACTACCACTCTCTATCATCCATGAATCTATCTAGCCTCCTTTTGAAACTTTCCAGCCTTCCAGTACTTACTACAAAGTTGTTAAGCTTGTTCCACTCGTCCACCACCCTATTTGTGAACCAGTTCCTTCCTATCTCCCTCCTAAACCTAAACTTATCCAACTTAAATCCGTTGTTCCGAGTCCTATCCTGCTCGGAAATTATAAGAACTTTATTTATATCCCCTTTATTGATTCCTTTCACCCACTTAAATACTTCTATCATATCTCCCCGCACTCTTCGTCTTTCTAGGGAATGCAAGTTTAGTTTCTTTAACCTATCGTGATATGGATGGTTTCTAAGTCCCGGAATCATTTTCTTCATTCTTCGCTGCACCTACTCCAGTGAATTGATATCCATTCTATAATAAGGGCACCAGAACTGGCTATAATTTACAATGGTTTTACACAATTTCTTCTTCAATCTTGTATTTTTATGGGTAAATTTTTCTTGTAGCTCCGTTCACTTGTAGCAAGTTAAAAATATATTTTTCTAGTGTATTTGTGTGTGCCGAGACCGAATATGACCTTCCTTTTTGGCGGAAATTAGCCGGGTTTTTTGTGCGATTTTTTTTCGTTTGACGTTTTCCGAGAAAAAAAAGTGCCTAAGCGACTAACAAATACACAATAAAACACTAGAAAAACAATAACCAAACCTAACCTAATCTAACCTGACCTAGCTTAACTGACTCTCACCATATGATGGAATCACCTATTTCTTAACTTATTGGCCTGGTTCTTGTTCGGCGTTGCATTCTGGGATTCTTACCCAATGCCACATATGTTGGTCTTTGCGATATTTGCATTCAGTCTTGCTCTTAGTACACTTTACTGAGGTTGGAAGAACACCATGCGATCGAAAAAATGCTATAGTTTCTACATTTTTTTTACAAAAACTCGCAATCAGCTCCATATACTTTAAGTGACATCCATCGCAGACTTCCATGGTCGTAACTGAACTTGAATTTCAAAATATGAGAGACCCAAAATAAAACTCGATTTTGATTGGGCCAAATATACTCTGAATTAGCAAAAACGCTTTTGATTGGCCGCGTGACGTGTATGGGTACGCATGCGTGTCATGATTTATGAAGGAGACGCGAGAGACACGCAGTGTTAGGTGAGAGGCAGACGATAATGGCGGGAATTAATGGAAGAAAATAGAAATTTATTTGGAAAAGCTATCTCCGTTATTATACATTTCCGCCGGTAATGTAATAGATGAAAATTATCTTATAATTAGACGTCTTATTCGAGTATGATAATAGATTAGTGGTAGGAATGAATGGAGCTACAAGAAAATAATACCTTTTATGTCATAAGTGATCCAATATATTTAAAGGACTCAATTTTTTTAAATATTCATTCCACTTATACCGATACGATGTGAATTTTGCCCTTGGTTTCTTTCCATGATCATTGTTTTGGTCTTATCCACATTTATCTCAAGTCCTCTTGAATTTGCTATTTTTCTTAAAGGTTGTTGCCATCGTACTGTATCTAGTTCTTGGGTGTTGTTGCTTACTATATCCAGTTCATCAGCGTATACGAGCTTTCTAATTTGATCTTATAATTAATTTCCTTCCTGCATTGTTTCCCTTATCCCTGTGTGATTTTATCAAGATTTATCTTATCCACGTTTCCATTGTGGATCTACATGAAAAAAAAAAAATATATATATATATATATATATATATATATATATATATATATATATATATATATATATATATATATATATATATATATATATATATATATATATATATATATATATATATATATATATATATATATATATATATATATATATATATATATATATATATATATATATATATATATATATATATATACTGTCTCGTGGGTACGAGTTGTCTTGTAATTGGGTACGACTTGACATGTTCTGATGGGTACGATTTGCTTGAGTACGAGTTGTCCAGCGCCGCCTACTAACACTATTTTATTGGGAGTGAGCTCTGATTGGCTATTGTAGTCGCCCATTACTGGCGAACAAAATGGCAAAATATCCACTGCCATTAGTTTAACCAGCTACCGTAATTATGAAAATTCCTAGATATTATTATTATTATTGTTTCGGTCATCCAGCGAATTTTAGGATTTTAAGTTTTGGAATCGGTAGTTTACTGGGTAGAAGACACTTTTCTTCTATAGTGTTTCTCCGTTGGAAATTTATAAATTTCGATAATTTTAACCATTATTATTACCAACAATATTAGGTAAAATTTCACTTGTTACCACTATACGAAATCGAAGTTGAAACTATGTTTCTCAGATGGTTATTGATGTGTTATGAACGAATTTGCCTTCATTTCTGACACATATTTACAGTTTTTGAGGTAAGTCTCCCCTCCCATCTCAGAATCTAGAGATTTGCTGTAAAAATCAAGGTAAAATTGTTCAAAACACATCAAAAACTATCGTAAAAACAAAACCCTAACCAACCTAACCTAATCTAACTGGGGAGCTCCACCACACTGTTTGATGTTCTGGGTGTGTACTGCCACGTATGAACATACATAATAAAATGTTAAATATTTCTCTTTAAACGTAATTTGCGCCGGAAATGCCATTGAAGAAAAGTTTCTTAGAATTGACAAAACTACTGTTTGCAACTCTAAAATTCCTGAGATGGTGAAGTGGCAACAAGTGAAATAATACCCAATATTATTTGTTCAAAGTGGGCAGGGCCTTGAATTAGAAGGAAAACTTGGAGTAAAATACCCCAAAAAGTAAAAAACACATTAAACAAACCTTTGAAAACCTTACCTAACATTTCCTAACTTGTAAAAATGTTAAGAATCACTTTTGAGAGTATTGATCCCTCCTCCTCTGAACACCGGAAATAACACCAACACATAATAAACACCAAAAACATGAATAAAGTAATTTTTTTATATAGTTTTAGGATTTTTATAGGTTAGGTCGGGATTTCAAAAGTTTGTTTAGTGTCTTTTAGTATTTTACCCCACATACTTCCTCGACTTCAAAACCCGGTAAATTTTTACAAGTTGCCCATAATGGTTTTGGACGTGAAACTTACATTTTTCTGGTTGTTTTTGATGTGTTTTGAATGATTCTGACCTTCATTTCTACCGCAAGTGAAAACATTTTGACATGATTTTGTAAAAATTTCGTTAACCATATTTTTGTTCGTTAACCGAACTGAAGATTCTTATGGAAGGTAATTCGTTAATCAAAATTTTGTTAACCGAGGCCCTTAACATACGCGGGGGTTAGGTAACAGAGATACCCGTGAATGTTAAAAATCTTTGTACTTTTGCTGGCCCCCCCCCCCTAAAAAACCCCTGGCCCCCCATGTCCTTATTTACCGTATATACCTGTGTGTAGTTCGAGTTTTTAAGACCAAATTATTTTGCCAAAAATTGGGGGTCGACCTCTAAAAGGGTAATAGTTTCGTTAGGTTGAAAAATATTTACCAGTAACTATCAGTAAACAATGGAAACGATGCACCAACGCACCACCAGCTGTGAGTGCCGGTACAGTTGCCAGGGCAGATCTCTTGCGTCATCATAGGAAGCCCAAAGTAGCCAAATGCATGGTATGGTAGCACAGGACGATGTAAAACAAAGTATTCATTTATTAAAGTGTATTTATAGAAACTGTATATAAATTTTTTTTCATTACATTTGAAACATCAATCTTTGTTAATTAAATTTGATACAAAAGAAAACTACGATACCGTATTTTCATTAAAATATTACACCACAAGTATATTTTACCTTAACTGTGACTGAATGAATATATTCTCAGAAATAAATATGGAAATGTAATATTTTTGCTGAAATGACGTACATATTACTGTACAGTGGAAAGTGGGATAAAATCATGAAAACAATGACTTTCGCTGTTCAAAAGATTTTACCGTAATCGCTTTTCGAATGGTTTTCAGTTAAAAAACTGTTGTACTGTACTCGTACTGTATTACAATAATATTCTATCCTATCATTAGCCTTATAATCCCACAACTGAAAACCATTCGAAAAGCGATTACGGCAACATCTTTTGAACGAAAGAAAGAGAGAGAGTCATTGCTTGCGTCACAATTTTATCCCACTTTCCACTGTAATACGTACATCATTTCAGCAAAAATATTACATTTCTATGTTCTCAGAAATAAATGGTAGTTTTGTTGAAACGTAATGTACAGTATTTAATATTAAAATGCAAAAATAGCTATAAAAACAATTAATACACCCGAAATATACTGGCTGGCATCTCCACTCGTCCTTGCTCCTGCTCCCGCGTCCAAGGTCACCTCACCACTCCTCCCAACTCGCTCCCTCCTCCACCTCTACCTCCTCACCGTCACTACTGCCGACAACAAACACAAATGTTTTGTGAATAATTGCACCTCCACTTCCTGTGCACAGTACTTGTACTGAACTGTGCTGTGCTGTGCATTTTTACAAACAATAAACATGGCAAGAAATGCTATTAAAAAAAAGAGATAAGAATTTCACACTACTGTACCGTACCTCTCCTCGGCGACAGGGGGGAGGTCCTCAGGCTCATCATCACTAAATTCCATAACAG